TCGCAGAAAAAGTATGTGTCACTCTTTGGGATGAGACCGAGGTCCAGTGAATTTGTGTTTTGCATTGGTGAGAAAATGTCCTATTGTTTCGCCCCTCAGGGCCAGCAGTAAAAGTGCCTTCAAATAACATCGGTGGATTGTGTATTGAAATAACTCGGGATGGATAGCCTACAAAGAGGCATCTACTTGTCTAAAGAAATCCAGGTTTGTTTGTTTTTTAAAGTCCATTACCTCTAGAGTGCTAGAAGGAGCGCACTAAGTACCATAACCACGACAGTACATTTAAATTGGTTATGAAGCCAGGACCTATTCATAATTCCATGTCACAGCTAGCAATCGAATAGTGCCACTGGATTGTAATATACCACAAAATTGGAAAAAAATATACAGTTGGGCTGTATGAATTTTTTTTATGTAGCTATAACTATTTTGGCCTGAACTTTGTAAGCAGATCATATTATTGGGTGTGAAAAAAAAGGAAGAAGCATTGTCGCAACCAAAAAGATCTTGCAAACAGGTAGGCACTGCTTGGAAGGATAACTACAGTATCCAGATTTTTACAACATGACATCATTTTACTTTTTAATGTACTAGACTCAGAATGAGCTGCATGAGTCAAACCAAACTGGCAAAACTTGAAATGCTTGCTTAACTCTGGGTAGCAAACCCAATATGACTCAAATTAATATTTTGTTTCTTTATTACATAGGTTGTTTAAAGGAACACCAAAAGTGATTAACAAAATATCATTTTGTAATCGATGAGTGGAGCGCTAGAGAATATATAATCATATAATCGCTGACCCCCTAATACATAGGTCCACAGGTCATAAAGTGAGGCAGCATGAAAAATAGATAAAGAAACACTGGTGCAGGTGCTACTTTCCAAAGTGCAAATGTGCAAATAAAATATAGTAGATACACTCACAATATTCAGAGCCTGAGGGTAAGGCTCTATAAAGACGCAGATGTGCTCTTCTAGGCAGCACCCCCCCTTCTAGGATGGAAATCACCCTCAGGGTAAACACATATAAAGATTATGGTGCAGTATGTCTATATATATATCATAGACTAAGAACAAGATATTAAAGAGACTCTCACCTTATATATAGAGCCTATTGTGGCCCTGGCTCTAAAGTGGAGACATGTGGTGTCAAATTGTGGGGTGACACTCCCCAATCCAGAAGCTGGAACAGGACAGACTGCCAGAGGTGCTAAAATGCAATATGATTATCAGCAAAGCTTATAAAAAAAAAAAAAAAAAGTTTAAAAGCAAACAAATGGCAAGCACTTATCCAGTCTTTGTAGTCCAATCTTGGTGAGACAAAACACGTTTCGCTGTCAAAAGCTCCTTCAGTTGGCTGTAGTCACTTCCAGGTCCAGGAATCCATTCAAATGATCACACCCAGTCAATTGTCTTGGTCACGTGATGTACATCGCCCAATCCCAGAGTAGTCCTTACTATCAGTAGTGTAATAGTTTCTTCTTGTTCCGCCGGAAGTTACTTTTTTCCGTGGCGGTCTTTGATGATGTAGGTGCTCGACTGGGTCTACTGAAAGTGACGCGACAAGTTTAAAGGAATGAAAGTTATAGGAATGAAAACCGTATTCCTACTGCTATAGTGCCTCTGTCCCTTTTTAGATTAAATATTAAGATTTATAGCACTGAGACTCTCTCTGTGCTGCATACCTCTCTGCCTCCAGCGACGTCAAATAGGCTTTACCACCTCTAGCAATGGCCCACTCCAATTCTCCTCATACAGGAGTAGTTGGGACCTGATGCACATGCATGGCGAACATCGCACATGTGTCCAAGTTTCCCAAGTTTCCCAGTAATGCTTGTCTAGAGCTTCCTTGTCATGTGACAAGACACCTAAAGCACTTTAGCTTGCTGAATGGCTTAATGACTGAAGAGGGTGTCCAGTTTTCCATTTTTATTTTTTTTATTTTCCAAAAAGTGCAGATTTCAGTAGAAACTTTCAGTCAGATATCACGTTCTGTTACTTCCTGATTGTTTATCTCAGTGGAGCTAAACTCAAAAGACAGGCAATTGCCCCAAGCAACTGCCTTGCAAAGACTTCTCATTGACTTCTAGCATGTAAGCTCATTGAGCAGGGCCCTCCACCTCTCTGTTCCTATATGTCCAGTTGTCTGGTTACGATTACATGTTTGTTTGTCCACACATTGTACAGCACTACGGAATCTGATGACGCTATGTAAATAATAAATATGTATAATGTATTTATTTGTACAGTGGAGAGACCCTATAACCCTGAAATGTATAAACGGCAGTTTTAAAGAACCACTATAGGCACCCAGACCACTTCAGCTCAAAGAAGTGGTCTGGGTGCCAGGTCCCTCTAGTTTTAACCCTGCAACTGAAAACATAGCAGTTTCAAAGAAACTGGTATGTTTCACTGAGGGTTAATCCAGCCTCTAGTGGCTGCCTCACTGACAGCCGCTAGAAGCGCTTCCGCAATGCTCACTGTGAAAATCACGGTGAGAAGATGCTGATGTCCATAGGAAAGCATTGAGTAATGCTTTCATATAGGCTGTTTGAATGTGCGTGCGGCTCTTGTTGCGCTTGCGCATTCGGATCTGACATTGGCAGGGGTGGAGAGTTCCCCAGCACAGCGGGAGCCCGGCGCTGGAGAAAGGTAAGTGGCTGAAGGGGTTTTAACCCATTCAGCCCAGTGGGAGGGGTGCCCTGAGGTTAGGGGGACCTAATGACCCTATTGTGCCAGGAAAACAAGTGTTTTCCAGGCACTATAGTGCTCCTTTAAGAAAAAAAAAAAAACTGCAAAGTTTATTGGGATTAAATTGTCTGGATTCATTGGTCCTTTAAAAGAACTTTTTTTTTTGCTCCTACCCTATCGTACATTTTCTTGATGGTTGGACATACCATAGAGAGGCTCAGAAACTAATCATTTAAACATTTGGGTCAAGTTGAGAAATACCCCCATCAGACTCGCTTATTTTGCTCTGTGGGATATCTGACATCACCTATTGGCTTGCCCTAAAATATATCCTGCATGCCCTAAAATATATTTGTGTTTATTGTACTGTGTTTCATGGATGTTTTTGTTTTTTTAACACTATCAGGGGGTGGAGTCAGACTTCTTTAACTCCTTAAGGACCAAGGCTTGAGATGCAACGAGTTGGTCACAGAGGTATTTTTGCCATGCATTCATTCTACCACAATTTCCCAGTTTCTGTTAAGTGCACCCATACATATTATAGGTCATTTTAAAATAGAAAAAGGGCTTTATTTTGCTATATGTATACATGCTACTATGTTAAATAGGAAGAAAATATTGGAGAGAAATGTGAGGAAACAGATGGCAGCACCCATGATGGGCAGGCCCATGCAAGTAAATCTCACCTTTCCCTGCCCCCAATGTCACTGGACCACCAGCAGTGATGCCACCGTGGTGGTCTTTGCAAATTATGCATAGTCCCCAAACGGTCCCTATTATACAATTTTTCAGCTTTATTGTGAGTCTTCTATAAAGAATGTTTAATGGGCACACATATGTTAGAGCAGACGTATTACATACCGTCCAACATTTCAAATGGACAAAGAGAGACTTTTTAATTTTAGGCATGTGACCAGGGGCGGGCTGTTCTGATAAATTTTAGGTGACTTACTAATAACTAATACTAATAACATTATACAACTAAAATGTAATTCAGAGCCAAAACAATGTATCTTATGTACACAGACTGAACACTTTTATTGTGTTTAAAGACACATTACTGTGAGTGGTATTGCTACTCTGTTATACATACCAAGAATATTGAGCTCCTACAAATAAAGGGTATAAGAATAGCAAAAAGGGACACATGGATTAAGGCCCAAAATATGGACTGTTCCTTCTAAATACAGACATTTTGGAGCTTTGGTAAAATGTGTCTATGTGCATGGCTGGCCATACAGATGTATGTGTGTGAAATTTACAAATACATTTGTATGTATGCATATGTGTTAAGTCATAAATATATTTGATTTTGAAAGAAGATATCCAGAAGTGTGTTAAGTCTATCTGAGCCATAAAAGAAGATAAGATGAGGGCAATACTTTTTTAGAAGGACTTGAGAATGACAGAAGTGTTTAGGTGCACAGAGCTTTCTGGACCTGCAGTCTATCAATTAATAAACAGCCAGGATGGAAAAATGTGAATATGATAAATACAGAGCCTTTCACTTTTTTTTTTTTTTTTTAAATCTTGACTTGAAGGTATCTACTGCAAATCCACAACGCTTTGGGCGCCTAGACACACAGGATCAAAGGTGTATATCTATTACTTCCGAATTTAAGAGGTTTAGCAGCAGTGAAAGAATTTGCAATAAAGAATTCTAAAGGTCTTTTCTGTTAGTTTGTCAGTTGCTCCACTGACCAGTCCTATACGAATGTATTCATTTTATTGAATTACTTCAATAACCAGAAGAATGAAGGGGTGTTCATTTGTATTCTCTTTAGCAAAGCAACGTTTTGCTTTCCTCTGTGGCCCAATACAGATTACAAAAGCCTTGCTAGAAAAGTACAATTATCTATATCTTCTTAGGTGTCATAACATTTTGTAGACCATATCGAACTACTTTGACCAGAAAGAGTTAAACGTTCTTTCCTCCTTTCTCCATCATACCTATATAAATAGCATCATTACTAACTGAAAGAGGAAGCCAGTGAAAGAGAATTTAGCTCGTTATTAATATTAAAATAGAAACAGATTTCAGTTTTTACTTTAAAATATTTCTTTAATCGTTTAAATACTATATGTGCCCTGTCCTGTTTATTTAACAAATTAAATCACTAAAACAAAATGTAATCTAAGAAAAAAAAAAATCTTGTATGTCTAAGAACAGCCTCCTCTTACAAAGCATTTTGGAGATAATGAAAGCAATAGGCTGACTCAAACAAATAAGGAAGCTGAACTTTGGGGATTCCCCGCTGGAACTTCCCAGCTCATGTAACCATTCAGCACAGGCCACTTAGCTTTCTCATACTTCAATAGCCATTGAACAAATTCACATCCTATTCATCTGATTTCTCTGTGCAACATTAAAAAGGTAAAAAGTCTTTTTTTTTTTTTTTAATTACAACTCTATCGGTAAATGTTTTGATAAATTAAATACGTAATGTTTTGTTTACTAGGCAGAGTGACTTATCGTATGTTTTGAAAACGCAGCTTCAGGCAGTTCAGTATAGATGGATTGTGTACGAAAGACAACCAATAGCTATTCTCGGAATTTGGATTTTGGAATCCTGCGGCTATAATGATAGTAATTACATTCATAGTTTTACTGATCTTGGAAATTTTCAGGTGGTTTTTGTCTGTTTTTTTTTTGTTTTGTTTTTTGTTTTGTTTTGGAGATTACAAAATTGTCAGAGCTTTACACTAAAATTGACAGACAAAATTGGAAATTTAGGCCAGTATTGCAACATTGAAAAATAATTTCTATTTCATTTATTTTTCTAAGTGTCTTTTTTTTTGGCCTAAATGTTGCAGTTAGTGAGAATTTACTAAACTATAGCAAATTAAAAACTCCTAAGGATTGTCATATTTTAAATGCTATATTAATAAAAACCTTTTATTAGAGCTGAGCTGTATTGTTACCAGGGTTCAAAATTTTAACTCGCCGCAAGCCTTTGGCAATTGAAAATTTAGTCCTGGCAAGGAGAAATTCACACCTGGAGGGTGTACTATGGCTCACAGCGGCGAGTAACTTTTAAAATCTGTCTTGTAGCATAAAACTACAAATTTTAATCCTGGTTGTTAGTGTAAGAATATAATGCGGTGTTCTGTTTTGTAGCCAAAATCTGATATAAAAACAAGTTAACATGTAGCAGGAAATTTAAAACACCTGAGATACCTCCCAACTCTCCCTTTTTAGGAGTAGTCCCTATTTCTGGTCCAAATCCCTTTGTTCCTCTTTTCTATCCCAACGTCCCTCTTTTATAGGAGCTCAGTATTGTTTGTGTGTATAACAGAGCTCCACGGCAATAACAGCAATGTGGTATTAACCTATAAAAAAGGTCGTTAGAAATCACTATTAACCCCTTAAGGACACAGCTTCAGAAGCTTGTCTTATGCTTAATGACACAAGCAATTTTTGCATTTTCTTGCTGTTTGCGTTCAACTGCAATTTGCATCTCTCTCATTTATTGCACCGACACATATTATATACTGTTTTTTAAAGGACAGAAAGGGCTTTAATTTGATATAACATATATATATAAATGCTTACTTATTATAAAAAAAATACAGAAAAATGCAAAATAAATGAAAAATATTGTTTGTTTTTTTTACAGTTTTTGCAATAATAATGTGTGCATAATTAGTGCAGGTTAAGGAAAGTAATTAAAAATAAATTTATTTATTTGTTCTGATTTACAGAATATATAATGTGTCTGGGATTTTAAGTTTTTTTGGTAGTTACAGGTCACAAAGCACAAGGAGTAAAATAAACTTTTAATGTGGAGCGATTTTAGAATTTGGTATGTTTGTCTTGTAAGCTTAATAGCCATAAAAGAAAACAAAATTGCCACACAAAAGTATATATTTATATAAAGTAGACATCACGGGCTATTTACCTAAGGTTGTTTTGACACTTTCTACGTAGCCATTTCACCGCCAACCTCTGCTAAATATTGGAGTAAAATTGTGTTCTTTTTGGTTTTTGGCACACAAACTTATAACAGAGAAATTCTCGTGTATATTTTGTAAAGTTGGTGTGTGCTATTCCTGTACAAAGTTTTATTTTGTGTTCAGTTACATCTGCTGAGTAAAATGACACCCCCATTGTATGTCTTTTGCACTATTTCGTGAAGTTACAGTGCCATACAGGATACCTGTCCTTTTCAGTATTCACAGTAGAATTTTGAGAGATGGATTTAATGAGCCTTAGCTTCCATTTTGGGGTATTATAACAGTTTGACTGTTCAAAAACCCCCCACAAAGGCCTACCATTTGTAAAAGTAGACACTCCAGGGTATCTTATAAGGTGCATATTGTGCCTTAACATGCCCCCATTTTTTCACCAATATATGCCAAAGTATGTGGTAAAAAATAATTTTGTGCATTTTTTACATACGGATTGCATTTTTGCTGGGCGTTTTGTATATTTCATATGTGCCACTAAGTTCAAACCCCCAAATTATGCTCAGCTAAGTCTTCTGAGTAAAATGACACCCCATATGAATGTCTTTGGCACTATTTCGTGAAGCTACAGTGCCATATAGGAGACCTGTCCTTTACAGTATTCACAGTAGAATTTTGAGAGATGGATTTAATGAGCCTTAGCTTCCATTTGGGGTATTATAACAGTTTGACTGTTAAAAAACCCCCACAAAGGCCTACCATTTGTAAAAGTAGACACTCCAGGGTATCTTATAAGGTGCATATTGTGCCTTAACATGCCCCCATTTTTTCACCAATATATGCCAAAGTATGTGGTAAAAAATAATTTTGTGCATTTTTTACATACGGATTGCATTTTTGCTGGGCGTTTTGTATATTTCATATGTGCCACTAAGTTCAAACCCCCCAAATTATGCTCAGCTAAGTCTTCTGAGTAAAATGACACCCCATATGAATGTCTTTGGCACTATTTCGTGAAGCTACAGTGCCATATAGGAGACCAAGCCATATCCGTTTTTACCAAACTTTGAATTTTGACGCTGGGCCTATGTGCAATTTCCAAGCATCTTCGCAGGTTTTAAATTCAAACTACCCCACAAAGGCCTACCATTTCTTAAAGTAGACACCCCAGGGTGTTTCAAAAGGTATAGTTTGAACCTTAGCGTGGGATCATTTTTCCGCTAGCTTGTACCAGATGTAGTGGTAATAAGCGTTTTTTCTGCCTTTTTGACATAGAAAGTGAGTTTGCACAGTATATTTTGTAAACCTTATGTGTGCTACGACTGTATAATACTTCATATGTTGCTCAGCTATGTCGGCTGAGTACAGCAATACCCCCGTATGTACCTTTGCCAGGTATGTGTGGACATCGGAGGGGCACATTTGGGACACAGCCATTCCAGTTTTTTTCAAACTTTGAATTTTTATGCTGTGCCTATGTCCCATTTTAGAGTATTTTACCAGGCTATATAATCCAAATTCCCCATAAAGCCATACCATTTCTTAAAGAAGACATCCCAGGGTATTTCAAAAGGCATATTTTGAACCTTAGCGTGGGATCATTTTTCCGCTAGCTTGTACCAAGTGTAGTGGTAATAAGCATTTTTTCTGCCTTTTTGACATACAAAGTGAGTTTGCGCAGCATATTTTGCAAACCTTATGTGTGCTATGACTGTATAATACTTCATATGTTGCTCAGCTATGTCGGCTGAGTACAGCAATACCCCCGTATGTACCTTTGCCAGGTATATGTGGATGTTGAAGGGGCGCATTTGAGACGCAGCCATTCAGTTTTTTTCTAACTTTGAAGTTTTACGCTGTGTCCATGTTCCAATTTGGAGTAGTTTAGACGGTTGGTTATTGAAACTTCCCACAAACACATACTATTTATTAAAGAATACACCCTGGGGTAATTCAAAAGGCATATTTTGAACCTTGGCGTGGGATAATTTTTTCTCTAGTTTGCTCCAGGTGTAGTGGTAATGAGCGTTTTTAAAATGTATTTTTTTACTTTTTATAACTTTTTTACTTTTAAAAACTAGTTTTTAAACTTTTGTTTTGCTTATAAATTTTTTTTAAACTTTCCTAAACTTTCTTAAAACTTTTTTACAGATTTAACATTTTTCTAAGCTTTTTTTTTACCGTTAACCCCTAACTAGCAGTACGCAGCAGTAACAGTAAATTCCCCATTTTCCCATAACTCCCACCCACCCCAGCTAGCAAAATATATAGTTATAAAATATTTAAATTAATTAATTAAATAAATTGAACCCCTGAGGGTTAAAAAAATAAATAAAAGTTAATCCTCAGGGGTTAAAAAAAATTAGATCACAGTATAATACTGTGATCTCTATTTGATCGCTGTAGGCAGTGATCGACTGGCAGGGAAGGGGTTAATTTTTATTTGGACTAGGTAAAGTGTGTTTTTTTTGTTTTTTTTACTTAAATGTTATTAAAACATTTTTTTAAGCTTAATTTTTAACTTTTTAAAGTTTCTTTTAAAACTTTTTTTTAACGTTAACCCCTAGTTAGCCTAACGCCAAATCCCCCAATTCCCCACTAACTTCCACCTACCCCAGCTAGCTAAATATATAATTAAAAAATAATTTAATTAATTAATTTAATTAATTTAACCCCTGAGGGTTAAAAAAAAAAAGAATTAACCCTCAGGGGTTAAAAAAAAAAAAATCAGATCATAGTAAAATGTAATCCCTGCCAATTGATCACTGTAGTCAGTGATCAATTGGCAGGGAAGGGGTTAATTTTTTATTAAAATGGGTAAGGGGGGACTTTAAATAAACTTTATTTTTTTTTACAGCAGGGGGCAGGATCAGCACTGATCCGGCTCCCTGCACTTCACACAGAACCCGGAAGTGCAGGGAGCCGGTAGGTGAGTATACAGAGCACATGTGCTGGGCAGACTGACCGGGTGCTCCCGGTATGCCTCTAATGCAGAGGCATACCGGGAGCACCATTAACCCCGCGATAGCGGCGATCCGGGGTTAATTTTACCGCGTGACGGACGAGGTCCGTCACCCGTCGTTAAGGGTCTCCCCTCTGTGACGGACCTCGTCCGTCACCCGTCCTGAAGGGGTTAATAAAAACGATTGGTCTTTGTAAAAGATTAATAGATTGCATAAATTGGTCAAATAAAATTCCTCAGAACAGCCCCACCCCTGGTCACACCTCTGGAATTAAAGTATCTCTCTTTGTCCATTCAACACATTGGGGAGGTATGCATCTCTCATCTATATTTATTATTCATTGGCAGAAACCAGCTATACTTGATCATACTCATAGTGCTAAAAAGACCAACATTTTGACCCATCTGACTAACAGTTGATTTACAGATGCGCCTCACTTACCGACCAGGTTTCATTCTTACGACCCGGTCGTAAAACTAATTAGTCAGTAAGTGAGGCGCATGCGCACAGGTGCAGGTCTATGTTCAGGGAAATTTCCCCTAACATAGACAAGCGCAGCAGAGCAGTGAATCCCACAAATATATGTTCGGGGAACCTTTCCCAAACATTGATTAGAAGGATTCCCAGCTCTGGTGCGTTTTTCTTGTATCCCCATTCTAGAGAGCTGGTCTTAGTGCGAGAGGTCGTAAAACAGGTAGGTCACAAAGTGAGGACAACCTGTATTTCCTTTTTAATCAACTGACCCAGTTAGAACACATTTATCAAAGAGAGGGAGATTTATCAAAGTGTTTATTTTTGCCTGTGCCCCGTTGTGTCCCTTTTGTCCAACCTTTGTGTTCATTCATTTTAATAATTTTAACTTTTTCCTTAACGATATTGAGGAGTAACTGTAACATTCACTCATAGTACAGTTTCTGAGATTATCAAACCTGGTTATTTCTCCACCATCCCTATAACAAAAGGATGTCATTAAAGGGACATTCCATTGCTCAGATAAAAGAAAAATAAATAAAATGACTATTTAGTAAAAGTACCCCAAAAGTGCCCCCTGCATGGTCCACCCTTGATGGGCCAGCCTACTTGATTGGGAGGCAGCCTGGTGTGCATTCATGCCACGTTGACATGTCAATTCTTTGGGCAGATCCGCCTCCTTTCTGTCGGTTCTGCCCATTTTGGCAGAGCCAGTGATGTAATTTGCTTCACAGGCCCCGGCCTTTTGACCCCTTCCACCGACATCCTGCTTTACAGCACGGTCGGGAGGTTTGTAACAGGGTTATTTACGAAAGTGGGAATTGTCAGAAATTCAAAGTGAATTTCAAATTTAAGGCCAAAATAACCAAACTGGAAGCACAGTTGGCTTTCAGAAGTTCTTTAGCTTGACTGTTTTGGTCTTAATTTTAAATACGCTTTAAAATCCAAACAATTCTCACTTTTGTGCCTTTTACAGGGTTATTCACTAAAAAGCTAAATTTACCAAAGCCACAAATATGCGAGTACTGCAGCTTTGCTATAAAAATATTTTGAAAGGGGCACTCCAAGCAACTACATGCAGTGTGCACTAACAATTATACGTGTCATCACAGAACACTGAAACTTGCCTTAGAGTTGCAGTTCAGCTAATAACATTCATAGATAGAAAGCCAACTACAAGTCACAAAAACTTTTTCTCTGAGCAGACGTGAGGTTGTCTCGAATATCACCTTTTTAATCAAAAGGTGCCCCCACTATCAAGATTTTACGTAACCTCTGAAATTAAATAGGTTCTGAGCTGTCGCCAGTGGCAGATGGTCTATTATGCCACCATACCCAGAAAAACTGCAATAATTACACTTGCAGGGTTAAGGGTGGTGGGAGTTGGCACCCAGATCACTCCAATGGGCAGAATTGGTCTGGGTGTCTGGAGTGTCCCTTTAAGAAATTGCAGAGCAAGCTACTGCACCGTGACTCATGCAAACCCTTGAGACTTTCTACGCCTGCACACAGAGGTAAAATTAGCACTGCACTCATTTCATTGCTACCATTACTCCCAACAGAGATTTAGAAAAACAAAACAAAATATATCAATTAAATTGGAAAAGTGATTGATTTAAAATAATTTTGTATAAGTACGTAGTCATCAGTTTGTTCAGAACATTAACAAATTAGGATACAGGTGTTAAACCTTAGAGATAACAACTTGTGTAGAACACACTAACCACTTCTCCGTCCTACAGGCATTCTACCATCTGCCTACGTATTTTCTGTGGAGAGTAGATTGTCACTGAGAGTAAGCAGATCGGTTCTATCTCCTCATTTAGATATCTTCTGTCTTAAAAGACGTTTTAAGAATACTACTTAAAATAGAGTCTCTGTCAAAAAATGTAATTAAAGAGAATCAACAAAAAATAATCACACACACAAAATCTTTTTTTTAAATCACATCAACGAGCTGTCATTTTCTCTACAGACTCACACTAAATATCTATATTGTGAAGTCAGTATAACATGATATAACATGATAAATACTTTGTGTTCTTTTTTTAAATATTTAAATTGTGACTCTGTTCCATGGCATCTGGAGAACTAGAGATTGCCTTCTGCTTTAAGCCTCCCAACTGTCACGATTTCGGCTGGATAGTCCCACCCTCCCGACACCAGGGTACTGTACACAAGAAGCATAGTGCAAATGGATCATTCGACGCGGTCAGGCAATGGTCAGGGCACTAAGACCCTGCAGAACGCACTGAAACAATGCATCTAGAAGGGCTTTTAACCCCTTAAGGACCAAACTTCTGTAATAAAAGAGAATCATGACATGTCACACATGTCAGGTGTCCTTAAGGGGTTAAGCAATGGTTTGCTTGTATGTAAAATACTCCATCTTTTAGATGTCATAGTAAAAACAAAAGGGAATTCTGAAACAATATTTGGGGAAAATATTTGCAACAATATTTGGGGAAAGCGGAACATGCATCTTGCACGAATTTAATTGCATTTATCACATTCATTTAGCATTATATATATATATATATATATATATATATATATATATATATATATATATATATATTCACAATGCTCTTACAAACAGTTTAAAAACGGTTCAGCTTATTTAGCACTAAATAACTATTTTATTTGTCTCCCACATTGGAATTCGTGTAGGACCCACGGATATTGGGTACTGTGGCGTAGTGGTGGGCTTAACAGATAGGCGATTTTAAGTAGCCTTATAGAATTTACGTTAGAAATGTACTCTATGAATGCGCTGCTACGGCAATGTATTAAAACACCATCTAATCTATTGGGCTGGCTAGTTCCACCAAGAGGTTAAATGTTAATTTTTGTAAAAAAAATGTTTTACTCATAATCTGTAATGTGTAGAACAAAAAAAAAAAAGTTTTATTTTTTATTTGTCATATTAGCTGTACTATTTTATCCCATGGAGTGTCCATGTTCTCCTAGTGTCTGTTTATTTAGCAGAGTTGTATTAGCTCAATAGCAGCAGTAATTAAGAATTCTTAATCAGTGGTTTGCCTATACAGGAACACAATCCAGAATGAGTTAAAAGAGAAAACTTTGTTATACATCAAAGGCAAAATGGCTGCATAACAAGAGAGAGAGAGAGAGGAAGTGAAGAATGACAGGAAGAGAACTTCCTCTCTGGCACCACAGAGACTATAGATAACAGATAGTAAAATGTTACCAGCAGCACCAAGTTCTCCAGATTTGGCACTAGCGATTAAATGAGGCAGTCACCATAGAAGACAGCATAACCAGAAGACACATTGACTAGGGACTCCATCTTGGGTTTAGACCACTTTGCAGCAGTATTTGGGGACTATATTGATGCTTTAGGGCAGACTGGGCTAGTTTAAGGGATGTATCTTCTGATGTCGCACAATAGAGTTAATTAAGTTTAAAATTAATCTTCTAATATTCCAAGACTACTTAGTGCAGTCCCAGTTTGGGGTTCCTGGCCATCTGCCCCAGGTTTCAGTTTCCCTCTGGTGGGGACACCAGAGACAGGTCCCTCAATAAATAGAGAGGGGCCGGCCCATCCATAGACCGTGGTGGAGCCATGGCTCCAGGCGGCACTCTGATAGCGGCGGCATTTTGTCGCCCCAGTCATCATCTAAAACAGGAGTTCCCAACTTGTGGCGGCAGTGCAACTGCACTGCACGAGTTGGGAACCTGTGTAAGGGTCCATCGGGTGGCCCATGCCCCTTTATCCTGCATTGAGAGCTGGGAGAAAGTGAAAGCCTGTCACTTCCTCACAGCTCACACAAACTGAGACTGAGCTGCGCGGGAGGAGGGACCCGCGAGGATGGGGCCAGACACGGAGAGCAGGCCCCCAACTCCAACCAGCCACAGAAAGCAGAAGGTAAGAAACTGTTGGGTGGCTTCATTTTTTTCATGTGTGTAGTGTGACTCTCTGTGTAGTGTGTGTGTGTGTCTGTCTGTCTGTGTAATGTATCTGTATATGTCTTTGTATCTGCATGTGTGTCACTGTTTGATACACATACTGACACACATGCAGATGCTCAGACACACATACAGTTGCACAGACACACTGATATACATGGAGATGTACAGACACACAGATACAAACATTGCCACACATGCAGATACATAGACAAACCTATACAATCACTGATACAGATACAGACTCACAGATACACACACTGACACATGCAGATAGATAGACATTGTGTATAAGTAAGTGTATTGGCTGCAGTGCACACACAGACAGGCTACATCCCCAGCACACAAACAGACACAGACTTCATCCTCAGCACACATACAGACACACTTCACATAGAGCACATACACATTTCATCTCCATAATGCACATTTCATCCCCAGCACTCAGAGACACTTCATGCCCAACACAGACACACGTCATCCCCAGCATGTGCCTGTGTGTGTCTGTGTCCCCACCACACATACAGACACACACTTCATCCCAGAGCCCACAGACACACATTTCATCCCCAGCAAACACACAGGCACACATTTCATCCCCAGCAAACACACGGGTACACACTTCACCCAGCGCACACGTCACTCCAGGGGGACACACATTTTATCCACAGCAAACACACAGAGACACCACTGCCGAAGCAAATATATGTTTTTGGAGGGGGCAGGGGGGGTGGGTCGAGGGGAAGGGTGCAGCACTTCATCCTTGGACTTAGACAGGACAAAGTCTTGGTCAGGCCCTAAAATGGAGCTTAAAGAGCACATCATTCTGTAAACCAACACAGAGTTAGCAGATATGATGATATTTACTCTCTACCCCAAAACATGTATTAAATATTGCATTGCAACTGTTTTAGTGCAATGACGTATAAGATGCCCTGACATGTAAAGTCCCACAAAACATCCACTACTCTTTAAAAAAAACATTACTTATAGTATTGAAAGATATGTTATTCCTAAAAGAACAATAAAGTCTATGTTTACTTCCTGTGAACTAGATACACATCAGTCAGCCTTCAGATCTTTGGGGCTTCCAGTCTTCCAAACTGTTATGCAGGCTGCCCAAGTCATAGTTATTCAGGTCATTTTCTACGTATGATAGGTTCCTCCAAAAGGACATTCTAAGCAACATAACCATTGGTTACTGCCACTGCTTGCCATAGTGCATGTGTTGTCATGAGTGCCCCAGCACTGTTCCTCAACTTAATATCAAACCATGAAACAATTTGACTCTTTTTGGTGCCCACTGACTCTCCACATCTGGATAATGTGGAATTAACACTTAGTTTATCAGTGCCAATTTCATCCAATCTGGACAATAATGATCTGCTGAACGTTGTGATGGTGAAAATAGCCGAGCTACTTCTAGAACTTTTTTTTTTTTTTTTCAGATCAGCTATGGTTTCCTAAATGTTGTCATTCTGATTTCACTTGCTAAAAGATTTTAAAGAATAACCCTCAGTAGTGTTCTGCCAGTAGAGTACTCTATTTCCACTGGTTGTTCCATTGAAGTAAGATGATCAGGCCAGAGGGCGTACACAGCAGTAGTTGAAGTAGCAGTAGAAGATGAAGTCAAGAATCCAAACGTGGTTCATGCATCAAACTCAAATCAGTAGGAGAAATAAACTTAGCAAAGCATACACAGGAAGATAATCAGCGTGCCAACATGCTACAGGAGATGCATAGAGAGGTGCCACGTGCAGATCTTAGAACAGAAGGTAAGACAGAGGACAGCAAGTGGGCGTTTTTTTGTGTGTACGTTTTGAAAAAGAAAACTGCATTTGCACATTTCATACCAAGAATTAATCATCAGGAAGAACAGTATTTTCTTCCTTCCTCGATACCTCTGCTTCATTCTTAATACTGGTTGCCACATTTTGATGACGTAATTTGAATGGACAGCATTGTGCAACATCAAAATCTCTAAATATATTTTATTTTACACAGCATCAAACATGTTTCACTCTGCTGTAAACAAAGCAAAACGGATGAACAATCTGTTACAAACAAGACACACAGACACAAGAAGTCATTAACGAAAGCCATGCTTCAATAAATCCAGATAAAGTATCATTATACCAGAGCTAAAGTGCAAAGTATCCAAAGGGGAAAAGGAATTGTCAGGTGTAAAATGTATCTAAGTAAACATATCAATGTGTGTGTTGCGTGAGACAGATGGTGAAGGTTATATAGGGTGAAACCAAAGTGTGCACTTGGTGGGAATTTGGCAAAGTACTGTATTTCAACAAGCTATCATAAATAAGAGGGTTTTAGAGAATTAAAGGACTGTAGACGACTTCACAGATGTATTAAGAGACTAAGTAGAAACATAGAATGTGACGGCAGATAAGAACCATTCGGCCCATCTAGTCTGCCCAATTTTCTAAATACTTTCATTAGTCCCTGGGCTTATCATTAAAGTTAGGAAAGCCTTGTGCCTATCTCACGCATGCTTAAACTCCTTTACTGTGTTAACCTCTACCACTTCAGCTGGAAGGCTATTCCATGCATCCACTACCCTCTCAGTAAAGTAATACTTCCGGATATTATTTTTAAACCTTTGCCCCTCTAGTTGTGGTAGCAGACAGGTGCTGCTAATAAAATGCCCCTAACTAATTGATCATCAGCAAGTGTGACCACCTCTATAAAAAAAAAAAAAAAAAAAGGTTTTGCAGTTTGCTAATCTGGAGCATTCAGGTGTGCGTTAATACAATAAAAAACAAATTAAATAAGTTACTTGCGCACTATTCCAAAGCCCTATGCATATTTATATAAATGGAGGTTATTTAGTAACTCCAATGGTCATTAGATGTAAGCTCACCTGCCACGTCAAGGCAAACCTCTTGGGGGGGTCCTAAACCAACAATTCACCTTGAGCTTCAGGTAAAAGAAAATCTCTGATGAGACAGAAAGGGGTATTCATAAAGATGATATCTTTACAAAACACTGAAAGTGACAGATGCTTTAAAATGGGTAGTATGATCTTTGTGGATTACATCATAGCATGAATAAATCACCGAAAATCACCTAGCTTCATGTAGTGAAACAAGGTCACTCAGACAGCCGCTAGAGGTGCTTCCCAATACATTGTGCAATATTTGCAGAACAGATGTTTGGTTCTCTCATACGCCAAACTCGTGCCATAGAGATGCATTCTGGCTGAATCCAAACCAAATTCAGGCCCATTCAGAGCCTGCTGCACAGAATCCGGATATTGGTAAATAGTGGGAATGAACAATAGTAATAGAATGGCTCTGTACAGAACCAAATTCTTGCCTCATTTGGACTTTAGTAAACAGATCCCACACTAATCCTTCAAATTATTCATCCTGCAAACAAAGTTAAATAAAGTGAGGCTTGCAAACCGCAACATGCCCTTTAAAGGGACACTATAGTCACCACAACAACTACGGCTTAATGTAGTTTTTCTGGTGTCTGTAGCCTGTCCCTGCAGGCTTTTTAATGCTTTCAGAGCATTAATTCAATGCATCTCTATGTGGAGATACTGATTGGCGCAGCTCTGCATTTTGCTGCGCATGCCCAGTAGCTTCCCAATGCTTTCCTATGGGAAAGCATTGGATTGGCTGAGATCATCAAGATTCATGATCTCAGACAGAGAGACGGGGCCAACCGCGGTGAGACCAGAGCAGAGCTGGAAAAGAGGTGAATAAAAATCACCTTTTTTAAAGTAAAGAAAGGGGGTTGGGGACCTAAAAAGTAATTTTACCACTTTGGTGTTTGGAATACATGTTTGTGTTCCTGACTCTATAGTATTCCTTTAAAGGACCACTATAGTGCCAGGAAAACATACTCGTTTTCCTGGCACTATAGTGCCCTGAGGGTGCCCCCACCCTCAGGGTCCCCCTCCCGCCCGGCTCTGGAAGGGGAAAGGGGTAAAAACTTACCTTTTTCCAGCGCTGGGCGGAGAGCTCTCCTCCTCCTCTCCTCCTCCGTTACGCCCCGTCGGCTGAATGCGCACGCGCGGCAAGAGCTGCGCGCGCATTCAGCCGGTCTCATAGGAAAGCATTTACAATGCTTTCCTATGGACGCTGGCGTGCTCTCACTGTGAAAATCACAGTGAGAAGCACGCAAGCGCCTCTAGTGGCTGTCAATGAGACAGCCACTAGAGGATTAGGGGGAAGGCTTAACCCATTCATAATTATAGCAGTTTCTCTGAAACTGCTATAATTATGACAAAATGGGTTAACCCTAGAAGGACCTGGCACCCAGACCACTTCATTAAGCTGAAGTGGTCTGGGTGCCTAGAGTGGTCCTTTAAGTTAAAGCGAGTCTGTCACATCTGGAGGTTTTTAGACGCAAAAAAATAAATTAAGAAAATATGACTACAAGTCACCAAAGGGCTGCGCTGCTCAGTTTAAAAAATAACTGAAAAAAAAAAAATCTAATGTTTCAGTTTTTTGCTTCCAGACAAGTCGTTTTTTAAAAACTCTTGCAGTGCCATATGCACAGCTCATGCTCAAGCCTTACCTACAGCATGTCTGTGTAGATGCCAAACAGTGCATATGTACAGTGGAGGTAAGTAGTTACCTCCACTGTAAATACTTACAAGGCGGTTAGTAGTTACCTACTTACCGCTTTGTTTGTCCTGCTAAATGCAATGACATTTACTGGGTGACACAAGTAACTCTTACATACAGAAAAGTGACAAAACCACAGCATGTGGGGTATTTCCAAAATCACTATTAAAAGTGTTTTGATGTATTTTTTGCTTAACCTTATTACCAAAACTGTATTGTAACTATCTTTTTATTTTATTTTGGTTGTGCGGATTCATACAATAAAATCAGCAGCTGTATAAACATTAAGTACCAGGAACAGTGACTATCATATTGCTGAGCTGAAGGAGGAAACCTCCTTAGAAATCTGTTTGGTATAATGTATAAATCAGGCATAGGCAACCTTCAGCACTCCAGAAGTTTTGGACTGCACCTCCCATGATGCTTTGCCAGTATTATGGATGTGAGAGCATTATGGGGGATGTAGTCCACAACATCTGGAGTGCCGAAGGTTGCCCATGCCTGGTATAGATAATATATTGTGCTCTAAAAATCTCCCATAATGTCATTTAAATAAAGGGCAACTTGTCCTGACATGACAATTTTACAAATGATTGAATAGTAACTGGAGAATGATCCTACCACAATGCAATACTTACACGTATTTACTAACAGTAGTCCAAAACCCTCCCTTGAACTCAGGAGAGGAGACAAAAAAAATCTAAATAGAGACTCAAGCTTGCAAGTTTGGATGGACTCATTTACATCCCTTCTGTGGGCTGGATGAATAAAGCTGCTGTTAAAACGTGTGCAAAAGGGGGCAGGAGTCCTGATGTCACAGGGGTGTGTGGTTTCAATGAGTCTGATTTCCTTTTCTTATGCAAACCTATCAGAAGCAGAGCCAGAACTGCCTGTTAACCCTGTCTGCATGGGGGCTGGTCTAAAGACTATCTAGCTCATGCCTCTCTGCCTACTAGCAAATCCCAGAAAAGAGAATTGCTTCCGTGTTTAATTGCCAGAATTGAGCAAAGGGGGTGAGTAGTGTTGGGGGTTCTGAAGGAAGAAATGGATCTGTAAAAAGCAGAGTAGCTTCGTTCTTGATTGATAACAAGTCCCAAGAGAATGATACTTTGTAACCTTTGCTCCCAGCTCTGCTACTTTCTTGCATAAACTTTTCTTGGGTATAAACAATCAAGACTTGGCTGTGTGCAAAGAGTTTTCCTGTTGTGTTTTTGTCCTTCAAGTTACTCCATAGTAGCAATGAATGGGTTAGCATCATGGTTTGAGAATGTAGTCCTCGAATTGCAACAAAACTTTTCTTTGGTTGTTGTCGGTGCTCGCTTCTCTAAGATGGTTGAAATGTTGAACTTGATAAATGTGATCTAAATAAATGAATGTTTAATTGGTTATCTGTTGGCACGTGAATGGTTAAATCTCCTAGTTTGTTCAGTGAGCCATTTATACCTTGTACTGAAATGAGGAAATACTTTCTCTGTGAGGTGCCTGGTAATTCACTAAGTCAGGTGGCACTCCGGTTCAACTACTTTGGTCTGAAATTTGTAATTCACTTTACATTTTCACTTTGAATAATTTTATTTATTTATATATATATATATATACACACACACAATTATAGAGTGTGTGTGTGTGTGTGTGTATGTATATAATATATAGACACACACACATATAGAGAGAGAGATGTTAAAGGAACATTTTACGCACCATAACCACTACAAATCAGTGTAGTGGTTATGGTGAAAAGAGACTCTGGGATCCAGGGGTTCATATTTATTTTGATTTGTTGAACTGCTTTGAGCAGTTTGCCAAAAATAGGTCTCTCTCTGTGACCCATAGCTTGCTCCTGTAATGGTGCATTATGAACATCTCTTGCGTCCAACTTGGACATTGATTGGCTGAGATCGCCAGGTAGGGGCTCGTCTAATGATCTTGGCGTATCACTACTGTCCTGTGACATTAGTGGAACACTTACCGATCCTTCAAGGATAGTGGCCCTACAAGTCAGGGAGGTCATGTAAATATTTAATTACTATCACATAAGTTAATATAATTTAGCTCCCGATGATAGATGGCATATCCAATGCATAGGTAGAGTTTGAATTTATTTAAGTGATGGTTTGATGTTAAAGTTGTATCAGGGAAATGGGTACGCTGTGATCGGCTGAATATTTGTTGTTTTGTTTGAGATGTTATGGTTGAGGGGAGTTTTTGATTTTTATATTATAATGGCTTGTGGTGTTTCAGGTTGTAGTTCCCTATAGATTTTCCCGACGCGTATAATTTTTTTTGTGTGTGTGTGTGTGTGTGTAAAGCTTGAAATTGTTGCCTGACATAATATGGAATTCATGTACTCTCACTGTGAAACCAAGTAAAGGGTTACTTCAATTATCATGACCACGTCAATGTTTTGAAGTGGTTATGGTGCTTGGAGTATGCATCACCGTTTCAGTTTAAAATGCTGCACATATGCAATTAAAACACTTTTTTTGTCATATAATATATGATAATACCACCTACAGCAATATTATTTATCATTAGTCCCAGGGTGGCTAATGTTAAATCCATGCATGTTTGGCATATGTAATTTATACACTTGGCATCCTGGTGACAGATGACCAATGACCCCACCTCTGTGCTAACCAAGTCCCCCCCTCAACCAGTCCTCCAGAACATCTCTTTCCCTGTAGCAAGGGGGAGTGACATCACCATACTGGACTATATTGACATGGTCTGGGTACAGTGCCCCTGTCAATTTAATCCCTACAATTGTAATTATTGCAAAACTGCAATAATTACATTGCAAGGTTGACTCCACCTCTAGTGCCTGTCTACCAGACAGTCACTAGAGGCACTTCTGGGTCATTAGGCGACTTTTGGTCGGCTAACTGATGCTGGACGTCCTCATGCTTTGCATAGAAAAAAATAGTTTGGGCACTTTCATAAAATAAAGCTGTTATTGTTCCAAGGGGTGCCTGGCGCTGGCTCACTTTTAGGTATTTAACCAATCACAAACAGTTTAACTTTAAAGTCTGTGTTTCAGCACCAGGTCGCTCTGTCCCCCTGTCCTTTTACTTTGTGAAATCCTAGATAACATGCAGCCTATCCCAGTACACCTATCTCTCTGTTAGTTCTATGGAAGAGGATGAAAACCTCAATCAAAGAGCCAAGGAGCTGTTACTGCCTCAATTTTAAAAGTGCTGATTTTCTATAGAAATCTGCACTTTCATAAACAGCCACAAATGTGACAAACTCCAGATACATAATGCACTTCAGCCATCATAAGTGCTTTATGTGTCTGGAGTGTCCCTTTAAATCGAGAGGGAGGAATGGAATTCATTGTTAAACAATTTGTGAGCAGTTTAACACTGAATGACAGTATCTTGGATCCCTAAACCCCACCCCCATTGGAGGTACAGCCAAAGCAGAAATTACACTTCCTTGTAGCTATACTGATTCAAATCTGCAATGGCACTGTAATGGGCTGAATGCAGTCAGCCAATCACAGCCACCCATTACTGGTCAGACTAATGCTTCCTCATTAGCCCAAGCAGCACAAGGGGATGAATTGCTGGGGACTCTTGTTTAACATTAAAACATTTAAAAATAGTTTCATGCTGAATGGAAGGATAGTACCAGGGGACTCCAGGCACTATAACCACTTCAATGAGATGAAACCTTTATGGTGCCTACAGTGTCCCTTTAAATGATGAAACCGGGTAAATTAAAACTAAAATTTAGGCCAAACTATCAAAGCTGGGAAAATATTTAATAAACAATTTCTCTTACAGCTTTTTTCAATATTTTTACAATTAATCACAAGTTACTGTTTAGTGACTAAACCTAATATTTTTTTTAATTCTTATTTTTTAATTTTTTTTTATTTATTTAAGGAATATGTTTAGTACTGTACAGAGTAAAGGCTGTGTTTACAATAACATCTCATTCGATGAAGCAACAATCCAAATAAATTGAAACATATAGGACGTGTGCAACAGTTGCATAGTTTCCAATGCTAATACAATAGAACTTTTCTATATGAAAGTCTAGTCCATAAAGGGACTATTATATTATTATTATTATTATTATTATTATTATTATAGCGCCAACAGATTCTGTAGCGCTTTACAATATTATTAGAGGGGGGATTTAACTATAAATAGGACAATTACAAGAAAACTTACAGAAACGATAGGTTGAAGAGGGCCCTGCTCAAACGAGCTTACAGTCTAAATTCAGCATTAAGTGTTAGATGGGTACAACAGAAAAGGAAACAGACCAGCATCAATTAGTTTGAGTTACTCTGAGAGAGCTGCAATATTAAAACAGATATCTCCGCTGGTAGTCTGTAGAACATCAAAGAAAGCGAAGTTCAGCAATATAATCCCAATTCACCCAGTAACCGGACGATACACAGTTATGGGAGTCAACTGTTTAATGGTAGCCACACACGGCCTTTTATGTGTGTCCCCATGTAAGGGGTTTACTGTAACACATTCCAGGGGCATTCCCCACTGGACCTGAGTGGGGACAGTCACAAAGTACACAACATAATTACATTACCTCTCAGGTCCAGGACATGTACATTAATAAACACCCCTTTTACAATACGGTACCTCCTCAAGTACTATATCCCTGGGTAGCCTGGATCTGAGCGCCCAACATATCTCGAAAGCACTCAGATTTCCTGTAATTTTGGATTACAGGGCAAAGCCACCATATAAATTGAAGGCATTAGAAGAGGCAATTTGTTGATCTTGGCAGTGGTGTAGTGCCACCTTAAGATTCTTTTGTAGCTACTTTCTTCAATATTATTGCTGATGGTAGATTTGTGTATGTCAAAGAGCATTTTTCTCCTGTCTTTGGGGTCAATAATATATTTAGGTCATGGGCCCAAGAGGTGGTAAATTTTAGGTAATCTGTTATTGTGTTCATTCTGGAGAAGATAGAAAGACGTGTTTTTTTTTCTTCTTAATTCTATGTGTCGAGCATTGTAATTCAAAGCTTGATCACCCTTGAGGAGATTTGAATTAGTTTGTATAAGATGTGTTAATTGAGTGTAACGGTAGGTTGGACATTGCATATCTGAGTTGGCAAAGGTCTTATCCCTTCGATGTTAAGGATAGAGTCTAGTGTGAGATACTCAGTTTTGTGGAAGGCTTCGAATGCTCTAAATGTTTCCTGGTGGGACTGTTGTTGTTTTTTTTTTTGTTAAGAGATAAAGTGGTGTTGGTTGGGGGGATATTTGATTTAGTAAATATTTTAGATTTTTTTTTTTTTTTTTAAAGTAAAATTAAAATAAGAAGCGATCCACTTTGTTCATGTAACCAGTTTATCCATTAGTTACTTATCATGACATTACAAACAACTTATTAAATTTAAGCCAAATGGTCGGAGTTCCCAAGCAAATTTACCACCTCTTGGGTCCATGACCTAAATATATATGCTCCTTCAGACCCTCTCTCCCCATACAAACAAATTCCTAGCAAAGTATTTACTCAATATGGCTAAAATGGTAATCTTTGTCTTCTAGTCACACACTAGCAGTGGATATCCAAGGCTGAGGAGACTAGGCTTCCCTCCTCTATGGGGAAGGCAGCAGTGGTCTTGAATTTTGTGCCTGGTGATTGGTAGCCCATATACGAAAAGTGTTTGGCCACTGGTTAATTCAACTATAAATCGTGTAGGCTGTCCCAATGGATGATTAGTGACAACAAATTCTCCCCTTTAAGGTAAGATCAGTCTTCCTCATGTACACTAGACCATAAGGATATGACCGCTTGTATATTACAATATAGATTGAACAGGTTACAGTTTTTTGGGGTTTTTTTGTATTTAATTTTAAAACTCTTAAAAGTATAAGGAGTTTGACAATAATTTCTGTGTAACATGTGCCCGTGTATTATACACCATAGACAGCAGATACATCCTATGTTCTGAAACTCCTTTGAGGATCATAGCAATGAATAGGATCCTTGCGAGCCCATAGATATGGTTTTTACCTATTTTGTAGCATGATATGGGTGGGTCTCAGTTAGTGAGTTGCCATTATATTTTTTCACAGGTAGAGTGTGGAGTTTGTTCTGTTGGTGTGGTAAACATGGTTAGCAATTTTGGGACTTACGAAACCGGGTGCTGATGCCTTTACACTTGTCCGTGCTTTTTGCAGTGTTTTGTTATTGTAGTCTTTTTGAGAGAACGTGGACTGCATAATTTTGATCTGTTATTCTTCTTAGACCTTATTTCTGTAGACTCTCAAAAATGTACACTAAGGGCATATTGTATAATATGTATGCCAGTTTGTCATCTTCGTTATAGATACAGACATCGAAAAAGCCTACTCGTTCTGTATTGGCTATTTTGGACCAAAGAGCTTAAGGAATGCTGAATCATGCTCAATGTTTCCTCCATTGTATCTTTCCAAGCCATTAAAATGTCATCTGTGTATTGAAAATCGGCAATGAATGAGTCCTAAAAGAAGTTAAGAATGCGTTCCTCTTCAATATAAATATATATCTCCTATAGCAAACATGGAATCTATCAATGCTTCCTTGGACGTTTAGTTGCCTCCACCAATGGTGGTATTATAGAAGCATCACTCTAATGGCTGGATATCATAATCATATTGGACATTTACATGCAGAAATGACACAAGTAATCTCTAAATATTTAACTCAATGTCCTCCCTCTCCTTACCAGAGAATTCAGTTGTACTTTTGACTTGTGATGTGAAAAGTTTGTATATTATCATTCACCATGATGTAGGTGTGGAAGCAATGAGGCCGATACCCGTATCTTGAGAAAGCTCATTTGAATGAGTGAAACGCGTAGATCGTGTTTCTGGCGGGATTTTTGAATTTGGAGAGATTGCAGTAAGATTGGCTAGTTGGCTTCTCAGTGAGGATCGATCTGAGTGCACAGGACCGGTCTGGAAATTACATCCACGGAGCGGTAACTTTATATTCATCAGCCAATATTCTGCATTTCTACGTTTTTATTGTGAACCTTAGAAATAAGTTTCACCACTTTTAATTGTTGGATACATATAAAGACAAAGTCTTTTTACACCAATTACTGTTACAACTATCAAATCCCTGCGGACATTTGAAAACACCCCATGAAGATTGAAACTGGGACTCTTTATTTAATTTATTCAATATATTTTTGTTGTTGACCCATATACAAAAAATAGGGGTATATTAACTAAGCGCTGGTACTCTTATTATTGATGTCGGAATTTTAGATCCCTGGTTTGTTTCCGCAACCTGTAATATTTGTTTTTTCGTGCCTCACATAACAAGAAGATTGCTCTACCTTCTTTCACTCTTTTTCTGGATTTCTGGTTCTATTTATCCTGGTCCTGTTATTTCAGTCATCTTATTGAGATAGTCCTTGTGCTACCATAAACTTCCTTGGCTTTTAGGAGATTAACTTAAATTTTGTTTTGGCTAAAATAGCCAAACTGAAAAATAGCTGTCTTTCATTTTGATTAGCATGGCTATGGTGGCCTAAAATTTTAAAGTCACTTTGAATTCCTTAAAATTCACCATATAATAAATAACCCCAAGAGTAAAATATTTTTATTTTTACAAAACAAATTCCATAATGTGAGACATTTGATCTTATTAATTAAAGTGCTGTGGTTATATGAAAATTGAGTTGCGAAATAGACAAAATTAATGAACAGTAATTTGTTATTTTGATCCATGTTTTGTAAATTTGGATTTAAAAAAAAAACAAAACTATAAAACTCTGAGACATTCACTTAACTGTGAAGTCTTGGGATTTGGCCAGATTTTAATTATTATTATTGGCATTTAAAAAGCGCCAATTTATTCCACAGCACTTTACAATATTATAAAAGGGGGAACTTTAACAATAAATGAGACACTTACAAAATGTTACGGGAACAATAGGCTGATGAGGACCCTGCTCAAACGAGCTTGCAATCTAGAGGATAATATCAAAACTGAAGCCAAAAGAACCAGCTATTTTTTCCTGTTCTTCTTTTCTTACCTAAAATCGCGAAACTGTCAGGAAATTACATTCGGGGTTTTTTTTTTTTTTGTTCAGCCCAAAGGTTAGTTTTGGGATTGATTGATTGATTTATTTTATTTTTTTCAGTCTTGTGAATATAATTACTGCGAGAGGAGCTTGGATTGTTACATAATTGTGAATGCAGTGAGAAGCAGCTGGGAATCTGTCTCTTGATTATTATTTTATCCAATTGCATTTCCTATGTGCTCAATATAAATAGTTCAATAAGCAATCTGGAAGAAGAAAAATGATTTGGATTTTTTTTTTGTTTGATATGAAGTGATGAAGTGTCAGAAATGAATCTATTATGTCTACAATTCTGGATTCCATGGTAACTTTTTCTCCATTCAATGAACGGAGACTCGTCAAAATAAATATCAATACTTGACAACAAATTAAAAGGTGTGAAAAGATTTTCAGACGTAAAAATATGCACTATCTTTCTTTAGTTTAATGGACCATTTCCAATCAGTTTCAAGGACCGACCCACATACTCACAAATCTCATCTGCCCACACAAACATATGGTGGGAGACGGCAAGATAGGGAATGCAGTAAATTCACAGCTTGGATTTCATGGCCTCGTGAGCTCCCCCCTTCTTATTGATTAGTTAATACTGTCAAAAACATAGGATATCAGTCAGTTCTCAGGACAAGAATAAATTGCAACATTTCAGGCATTTATGACATGAACTAAGGTGGTTTAATAAGTGTCTCTGTTATCCTGAAAGAGCCATGTTTGAGAAGAATCCAACCTTTGGATTCTTGAATTTTACAAGACAAAAGTGTTTGATTTGTGGATCAGAATCTTCTGCTGTTGAGCTGTAGGTGGCACTATTTAATGATGATAATAAGGGTGCTTCTACAAAACGAAAACACACTCCCCTAGAACATGAGATGGCTGGATGATATTGTTTAACGGATCTCACAGTCCCTATTAACACATAAAAGCGGCAATGGACTTGTGTCATGACGCTCAAGCACCTTCAGTATCCACAAAACATGATGGTTACCACCTTTTAAGCCTCAGAAATTTTGTTCCATGCCTGTACTGAGGACCAAGAGCAAACATTACGGTTTCAATGAATTGACAACTGGATTGCAAAAATAACTGACTTGGAATCCTGCTCCAATTCTATATAGTCTGCGCAGTTAGGTTTTCATAAACCCCCATATCTTAAGTTTACCTATTCACCTTAGTCACATTGTCCTAACAAAGTCACAGAATGTTCCACTATTTGTGTCCAGTTATGGGCCTTATTTATTTGATATTCGAAAACTTGCACTAAAATTCCAGCTGCTGTGTCTCATCTGAGCATTCCCTCAATCCTTGAAATCCAACTTATATAATTTTATAATGGTTGGCTGGGCAGAGTGTGGTTTATTAAAGGGGCACATTATGTACCATAGCCACTACAGTTTATTTAAGTTGTTTTGGTGCAATGAATCTATCTACGTAAAGTATGTTAGTGTCATATCTTCTTCCCTACATGATCCATGTGCCTTATATAATACATTATCTATAAGACATTTTAGAATTAAACACTCCACTATTTATTATGATGTTTTTTTGAAGCAAACGAACTGGTTAAGCTGGTCTTTGGAAGAGTCATCTAAAGTGACATGTTATTTAATTCATCCACCTACCTCTACAAGGATGACTGGGGAACATTTCGTCCAAGGCTTTAATTGTTCACTTTGTAAATATTTGCATCAGACATTATGTTTCTTAATAGAAAAAGCGTCATTGAGTTTTATATTTTCTTTCTTTTGGAATTTGACCTCTAAAATTGTTTAATGTTGTGACATAGTGATATTTCCCATTTTGTGTTTTTAATTAAATTATTTCAAAACTAAGAAGTTTACCTGCAGATGGATACTACAAATTGCAGCGCCTAATGCCGAATTTTCTTTAAATGATAGTTGGGCACATGCAAATCCGTGCACAGGAGATCATTGACAATGGAAAAATCAAACAGTCAATGATGACCTTAACTGACAAAATCCTCCCAACATTCAACATCCTGTCTTACCCTCCAAAAACCCAATATTAAACTAATTAGAAGGCTTGGAAGCATGCAAACCATGCCTTCAAGCCCTCTGGGTATGAGAGCCAAGAATTTTACTTCCTGACTCTCATACAATGACCTCAGATGAGCATGCGTGGTGCCATCACAGTCGCCATGTAGAATCATTATATACAATGATTGTCTATGAAGGAATTGTAGGCACATTGCACCATGCCGGAGTAGTTTGTTTTTATATGTAATCTATTTCAGGGTTTCTGTTTTTTGTTTTTGTTTTGTTTTTTTAACAGTTGGTGTAGACCTAATTGTCAAGGGGCAACACGGCTATGTCGTTCGGAATACAGAAATGTATTCCTAATGTCACAGTGTTCTTTTAAAAGAACACTTATAGTGGTATTCAGTATCCCCTGGTAAGTGGGGTCACCGATCATAATGCCTTGCTGCCTAAAATGTAATTATGTTTTTTCCTTGCAATTAAAAAAAAAAAAAGACGATCTGAGAATTGTCAATAGCATAGTAGCTTACCAATTTCTTAGTCTCCGCTTAGGTCTCAAACAAATTTAGCTAGCTCAGATATACCATTACAGTGAGAAACTATACCATATACATATAAAACTAATCTTACAGTCTCAATCAAAATGCCAGCAAATTCCATCTACATCCAAGAAAAACACAATACTTACAGCATTTAGTCACATCAATAAAGAATAGCTGATGGCCCTCTAAACACAGTGAGCAAAGGGGCCACGTTTAAATGACTCATTTAACTAGTTAAGGGCATAAAAACCAAACCAAAAAAGAATCGAGCTTTCTCTATGTTAGTGTCCTCAGGATGTAGTGGCTATGGAGCTTGCAGGTAAAATAAATATTTTATTGAGATGTAACAACCGTTTGTTCCTGTGTCTTTAGAACTGTAAATACATAGTTTCAGCATTGTCAAATGTATTCCAAAATTAATTTGCTCATAGATGTTGGGTCCTATAATAAAACATAATATTATAGTAAAACATTCTTATAATATCACTAAACATATTAAAGAAAAAGTAAATGGAAAATGTACTACAAACTCAAAGAGGGCGAGTTATTTTTGTGATTAACTACACTTCCTTCACTTTGATTTAAAGGAACACTATAGGGTCAGGAACACAAACCTGTCTTCCTGACCCTATAGTGAAAACCCACCATTTAGGAAGCTTGCTCATTGACAGCCGCTAGAGGGCTTCCGCGCTTCTCACTGTGATTTTCACAGTGAGAAGACACAATGCTTTCCTATGGACTGGCTGAATGCGCACGCAGCTCTTGCCGCGCATGCGCATTCAGCCGGTGACGGAAGGAGAGTCCCAGCGCGGAGGGAGCCCGGCTCTGGAAAAAAGGTAAGGGATTAACCCCTTCCTCCCCCTTCAGCGCCACGGGAGTGGGACCCTGAGGGTGGGGGCACCCTCGGGGCACTATAGTGCCAGGGAAACAAGTGTGTTTTCCTGGCACTATAGTGGTCCTTTAATACTGTACTGCAGAATCTCAGAGGACATTTACTTTGCTACAGAGCAATACCTCCAGGAAGCATCGTATGTTCCCTTGTGGTGCACCTGCATGCTCTGTTTTGTTTTTTGACTTTTATCATTATTTCCAGCTTACTTTTTTCCCAAATATTTTAATATGTTTGCTCCGAGTTACTTTTTTAGATTTTCCTGCCAGTTTTCCTAAATTCCCAGGTTAATAAAAATTTCCTACAATACGTTAGAAGAGGTTGAACGTGATTTGGTAATAAAATGGTTCAGTATTCTCTGCTTACAAATTGTGTTCTTGGCCCACGGATTGCACTCTGCTGCAGAAGAGCTCTGTTGATATGTCAGTGGATCAGACTGATATGTAGGAAATATTCTGTTCTTAATCCACAAACAACATTCAACTACGACATCAGAAGAGATGTTCACACGCTGGGGCCAAGAACACTTTGTGCACATGAAATATCTAAACACTGTTTATTTGATATTTCACGTAGTTGTGTGTTTTTTTTTTGGAGAAGGATTACCCCCTTAACCCCTTCAGGACGGAGTCAATAGTGCACGTTCTGATCAAAACAAAACGTAAATAAAAACTGGAATTTGCGCTATATGTCTGTGCAACCGTAATTCACCGCTGTCACATTAAGTGCACCCACACTTATTATATATCATTTTGTTCAGGAGAAACAGGGCTTTAATTTATCATTAACTATTCATATATGGAAAATAATTTATTATGAATAAAATTTAAAGAAATGTGAGAAAATAAGATAATTTTTTTTATATTTGTATTTCCATCTGACATTTTAGCTGTGAATGTCATAATACTGTTAGGTATTACTACAAAAAAATGCCCATATTTGTAATCAGCGATGTCTCACGAGTACAACAGTACCCCCCATTAACAGGTTTTATGGTGTTTGGGAAAGTTACAGGGTCAAATATAGAACGTTCCATTTTCAAATTGAAATTTGCCAGATTAGTAATGTTACCTTTGAAACGGTGTGGTAGCCCAGGAATGAGAATTACCCCCATAATGGCATACCATTTGAAAAAGTAGACAACCCAAGGTATTGAACGTGGGGTATGTTTAGTCTTTAGTAGCCACTTAGTCACAAACACTCAAATGAAATGCAAGCCTTATATGTGACTCTCTAACTTTCCAAAACACCATAAAACCTGTACATGGGGGGTACTGTTATTCTCGGAAGACTTCACTAAACACAAATAAAAGTGTTTTAAAACAGTAAAACATATTACAACAATAATATAGTCCATAAAAGTGCAGTCCGTTTGCAAAAAACGTCACTTTTACTTAAAATATCATCGTTGTAATACAATTTACCAGTTTGAAACACTAATATTTGAGTTCAGCGAAGTCTCCCGAGTTAAACAGTACCCCCTATGTACAGGTTTTATGGTGTCTTGGAGAGTTACAGGGTCAAATATAGTGCTTGCGAATTAAATTCTCTGCACTTTCTCCCTGTGTTATCAGGCATGTCAATCAAATTTTAATCAAATCACATAATTATGTTAAAAGATTACTTAAATATACATGTAGAATTTTTATATATATATGCACTTATAGTTATTTAAATTCTACGTGTATACTAATGTAATCTTTTATGTAATTATATGTATTTATTTATTTATTTATTTGCGGTTATTTGTATTTTATATATAGATAGATATATATAGAATGTCATTCTAAGTGTTTTGTTACCAATATATATATATATATATATATATATATATATATATATATATATATTAATAACAAAATACAGTTAGAATGAAATTACATATGAATATATAATTTATATTACATTTTGTTTCAATATTTTATTTATTATTGTAATTATACGTGTGTGTGTGTGTGTGTGTGTGTGTGTGTGTATATATATATATATATATATATATATATATGTATGTAACATCATTCTAAGTGTATTTTAATACTAATATATGTACTTATATTAGTATTAAAATACACTTTGTATGACGTTACATATTTATAATGTGTGTGTGTGTATGTGTGTGTGTGTGTATATATATATATATATACAAAAATATAAGGTACAAAAGGCAAGCACTCACGGTCTTTTCTGGTCTCTTTAAAAGGTTGTTCTTTATTTCATTGGTTACAGCTCAAGCTGTTAAGATCCTGATGAAAGCCATGAAGTTTGGCTGAAACGTCGATCACATCAAGTTTTAACCAATGAAATAAAGAACAACCTTTTAAAGAGACCAGAAAAGACTGTGAGTGCTTGCCTTTTGTACCTTATATTTTTGTATATTTTTGGCATTGGTTTAATAGCACCAGGCACAATATTATTGGAGAGTGTGTGTGCAAGGATATAACAATATTTTGGAATATATATATATATATATATATATATATATATATATATATATATATATATATATATATATATATATATATATATATATATATATATATATATCAGAGAAACTGCTATGTTTATAAATGGGTTAATCCAGCCCTCAAAGCCTCTAGTGGCTGTCTCATTGACAGCCGCTAGAGGCGCTTGCGTGCTTCTCACTGTGAAAATCACAGTGAGAACACGCAAGCGTCCATAGGAAAGCATTGTAAATGCTTTCCTATGAGACCGGCTGAATGCGCGCGCAGCTCTTGCTACGCGTGCACATTCAACCGAATGGGAGGAGAGGAGGAGGATCGGAGGAGAAGAGCTCCCTGCCCAGCGCTGGAGAAAGGTAAGTTTTAACCCCTTTCCTTTCCCCAGAGCCAGGCGGGAGGGGGACCCTGAGGGTGGGGGCACCCTCAGGGCACTATAGTGCCAGGAAAACGAGTATGTTTTCCTGGCACTATAGTGGTCCTTTAATATTTTCAGTCACAACAAATGATTACCGTTTTCCACTACATCTTTGGTAATCTGCAGTGGTCAGCTGTACCTCCATAAAACGTGCACTTCAATGTTGTTTAAAACTTACCAGGAAAAGTTAAAGGATCTTAACCTGTATGGCTTGGAGGAAAGACGAGACAGGGGGGATATGAGAGAAACATTTAAATACATAAAGGGAATAAACACAGTAAAGGAGGAGACTATATTTAAAAGAAGGAGAATTACCACAACAAGAGGACATAGTCTTAAATTAGAGGAACAAAGGTTTAAAAATAATATCAGGAAGTATTACTTTACTGAGAGGGTAGTGGATGCATGGAATAGCCTTCCAGCTGAAGTGGTAGAGGTTAACACAGTAAAGGAGTTTAAGCATGCGTGGGATAGGCATAAGGCTATCGTAACTATAAGATAAGGCCAGGAACTAATGAAAGTATTTAGAAAATTGGGCAGACTAGATGGGCCAAATGGTTCTTATCTGCCGTCACATTCTATGTTTCTATGTTTAGAATGGGAATTGACTGCTGCACAATTGTAACGGAGATCCCTGTACCCCGACTGGGTACCTCTGCCAAAAGACCGCTTCCTAGCTGGAAGAGGGACAAACAGCAGCACTTCTGCCCACAGTGATTGTGGCTTGACTGGGGTCCTGGAGCCACTCCCTCCTGGAACCAAAAGGGGAATTCGCTTTAGACACCCCAAGGCACTGGACGACACTCAGTCCTGGGAGCTGTAGTCCTTACAGGGACTTTCTCCATTGAATCCTCCACACTGGAACAGTGATTAAAGAATAGCCCATTCCCCTCCCAGTAACTAGACGACACATAGTTCTGGGAGTACAAGCTGGAATACCTTTATTGGCAGCCACAACTGGCCTTGTATGCAGGTCCCCATGCAAGGGGCGCTCCCCCCTGGACCTGAGAGTAAACCACAGTAGAAACAAATACACAATTACATTGGCTCTCAGATCCAGGACACTCCCATACATAATAAGATAATCCCTCCCTTGTGCCTGGGATATAATTGAGTCAAGTATTGTATTAAACTCAATTATCTCCAGGTACAAAACAGTTCCAGCGAATCAGGGCTTGCGGTCGGTCTAGTTCGGTAGTTTAAAAACCAAACAAACTACCAAGCATAGTCAATGTTTTTACCCTGGAGCTTGTTCGTGGAAATGTTTCCACTGAACAGCGCCTTTCTAAGTGTTGTAGAACCAAACCCAGGCAATCATGGAAATCCAGCGGTGTTCTGGAGTTTCAGTGTCCTAAAATAGTTCCATGAACATGACAACCAAACACCGCTGCCTGGTTTCATGTGAACAAGATTGCCGCCACCTCAAAATCGTCCATAGGAATTATGGCCACCCAGACGAACACTTAGAACACTGTGGTGGAAATTGCTACAAAGTATCAATTAGACTTAACAAGCTCCAAGGTGGTCTCAAGTTCGTGCGGCTGTTCGGTTCCCGAACCATATAATCTAAATACATGAATAGAGACTATTACATCACTTTTTACAGGGTCCATAGTCTATGGGAAGGAGGCTGGCAAGCAGGCTCCTCCAGGAACTCGTGGCAAACTCAATTGGAAAGGGGAGTTTGTCAAAACAATCATCTCACCTACCCCTAAATACCACCTCCCAAAAAGTGCCCCAAATTTGGGAACCGCATCCTTTCATACCCCCACTTAAAACCCACCTATTGAACGTCTTTATATTGCCAAGAAGTTAATGAAAACTACCTTCGTTCAAAGAGTGTAATCTGATCTTAATTACAGTGTTAAAAGAAAGATGTTTATGAACCAGTGTCTCAATTAGCTAATACAAATGTTATAAAATTTTAATTTTTTTTAACGTGCTTTGTATTTTCTGTATAATTCCATAGGCTTCTCTAGATATCCTTGGGATTTATTAGTGATGATACCTAACTGGAAAATATGGATAAAAACATTGGAGATCAGCTCAACAAAGCCTTCGAAGCATATCGTCATGTCTGCATG